CTAACGGCAACTGTGAGAACTTTATTGCAGCTTTGATCTTGACGGAAATTATTGTTCAGCAACTTTAACAAGTAATAGAAAGACTTACGAGCGCGGAAGGTAAATATTAGAACGCATGCATCGAACTGGTAAGAACAAGCGGGGTTGGACACGGTTCACGTATTCGACCAATCATATGTCGTGTCAGCAGGAGTAAAGCCGGGGGACACATTTGTGGTTGAGTGTTGAGAGTAATTAACAAGTTGTCGTTCCTCGACCGATTTCTGTGCTCATTAAGAGAATCAAACGAACCTTTTCTAGGAGCTACTAGTGTAATATCTAGACTAGTTATTTGCCAAGTCTCAATCACAGGTAAGCATTTTTTGTATCAAAACTGGTCAATGGAATCATGCTACGTTGAAAACGTTTGTTCAACACACGCGCTTGACATGAATACATGATCACCTTGTTGCAATCACGCATTACGCTGAATTTTTCTATTAAATCACGCATCACGGATAATTTTTCACCAGTCACGCGTCACGTAAAAAGAAGAGTACATCGCCAAGTTTACTTTCTCGACCCTAAAAGCGTCGTTAAAAGGAGAACTCTGCCGATTTAACCACAGAAATGCATCGGCAAATATTCCAAACGTATTCCCGCGAAATTGACAATTATTGGCCAAAATAAAAGTGGTGATCCGTACGGGAGGCCGGGAGATTCGATCTGTATCCAGGAGGCTCCTGGATAACTTGAGAGAGTTGGCACCCTCTGTGAACAGGCTCCCGATGAGCGCGAAAAAAAAACAATATAAGGTGAGCGAAGCGAGCCTTGCGGGTGGGATTTTTCCCTCTCTAGACCACTCTCGACATCTCGCGCGCCTGTTTTTTTTTTCCGGCTTCCCTTATAACACAATCGGGAGCCTATTCACAGGCAAAGTTGACAGAGATCTTGTATACGAATTGAAAAAACGTCCACGCCACCTTTGCCTTGCTTTGATATACAAGCAATATTTGTGCCAAAGTTTTACCCCTGCAAATCCTCTTCTGTACGGCAGCATTTTTATGTCTGCGAATGACATACTATTAACTTGGCTTTTGAATTCAGTTCAATTCGTTTCGCGAAACAGCGATGTTATCGGGTTTGTCAGATTATCGTTGCGCGGCAAAGATGAAGATGTGAAAATGTCTGCCCTCTTATTACCGAAAACACGCTCATCTCTGTCATCAAATCTGGATGATATGTACTACCGACTTCCTCATTTACAAGGATTGAATTTCGCTGAAACCAGCATCGTATATGGTAGCCACCTAAAGATCGCCATTCTCACTGGATCTGATTATAATTTTGAAATACTCACCGGCGAAATAGGTCGTGGAGTCACTGGTCCCGTTTATAGCTAATTTAGATGGGTGATGTCCGGCCCAACCAAGAACATAGTTTCTTGGTGACCCAACGCAAGAAAAGGGAGAGATTTCGGACTTGTCAGTGGCTATTGTTGTCATCGAAAAGATAGGTTCTCCGAATTCTTACATGATCGACAACGGAACTTTCCGCTTTACGGCGGTTTTGGAATATCGAATATCTATCGCTGAATGACTGCTTACAGAAGGACGCTAACCTGGTTCCACATGTTCTCCTGAAGTTAGAGGTTATCCTATCAGAATCATCGCCGATATTGAGAGAATTTGTCATCAAATTTTAAGTGCATCTGATCGATGATAGACAAATGCCTAAGTTCTATTGGCTAGACGATATAGAAAAAAAAAAAGACCCGAGATCAAGCAGTGTCGGTTGCGTGGCCCGCCTTTTGGTCTCACACCTAATCCTACTATTCTAGCTGGTACCATTCGGCGTCACCACTTGTAACAACATGAAGACAAGTAGCCGAAGATTTTGTTGTTACTACTCGACTCTCTTTACTTTGACGACTTCGCCAGTGGGGCTTACGAAGATTCCGAAGCGTCACAAATTTATCGCACCTGTAAAGAATTGATGAACAAGAGTGTCTCCAGTTGTTAAAGTGGAACTCTAACTCTAAAAGCGTTCGAGAAAACATCAATGTTCAGGAGAACAGTTCTACTTACGAAGTGGACGAGATTAAACAAGAATTATGGCTTCTACGAGAACGATAGCAGTACGCAAGTGGAAGCTGCCGCAATTCCCGTAAATGCTGCACGTGACTCGTAGACTGCGCCAGTGTTACATCAAGTTTCTAGGGATCAGCTGAATCAACTGGAATGAATTTCATTTTGACCGCACAGAGCTGATGTCTTAAGGGAAATCGCTTCCAGACAGTCAAAGCGATCAGTGAAGCTCGCCGCAAAGGTCTTCGATCCTATGGGCCTACTCACGTCATTCACGATCAACATGAAGATCCCCTTTCAATCTCTGTGTACCAAGGGAGCTGACTGGGAGGACAAGTTAGAAGACAAACCTCCAGTAAGATGGCACTCGCTCGCTTATGATCTTCGAGCCTTAAAAGACGTTAGAGTCCCTCGCTGCTACTTTCGTTTCACCAATGAACAACCCGTTAATCATCAAATTCAAGGATTCTGTGATGCGTCGGACAACGCTTTTGTAACAGCCGTTTCTCTTCGTGGAGGGCAGAACCTGAGAAGTCGAAGTCAACCTTGAGGCATCTAAGAAATGAGTGGCTCCAATCGCGAAGCAGACCACGTCGCGACTAATGTTGCTGGGAGCAACCCTACTTGCAAGATTAGTTCACTCCGTTCTACGAGCTTCCACGTCAGTAACGGCCCCTCCCGAGGTTACACTGTGGACCGATTCTTTCAGAACACTACGATGGATCACGAACAACCCAGCGTACTGGAAACAATACGTTCAACCTCGAATCAAAGAAATCAGATAACTAACAAGCATTCACCTGTTCACCAATGGAGGCATTGCCCAGGAGAAGTAAACCCCCGCTGACTTACCGTCTCAAGGACGGTTTCGCACAAGATCTCAAAGAAAATGAAACCTGGTGAACTGGAGCGCGTTTTCTTAAACTCGTAGGGCAGCAATGGCATAAAGATCCACAACCCACCAGCAAAGACAGGAACAAGCCTTCGCCTACCCTGCGAACAGGCTCCCGGCGAGCCCGAAAGAAGCCCCGATCGCTTCGCTCTCCAAATTCTTCAGTTTCGCGCTCGTCCACTCGCCTTGCTCGCCGAATTGTTTTCTGTCCTCGCCGGGAGCTTGTTTGCAGGCTAGCCTTCGCCGAACTGATTAAGCTTGTACCGACAATAATACACTAATTAGCTGGTCTGTCAACAAGTACCGATGGCTCCGTCAATCTTGAGAAGTTAATCACCCTCAGAGATACAGCGCCAAAACCAAAAAGATGCTCCGATTAACTGCTATTGTCCTTCGATTTACAAGAAATGTGAGGAAAAGCGATCCACGCTCCAAAACGCTCGGGTTGCTCGCTGAAGAGTTGATAGAGGTTGAGAAAATGTGGATAAAAAACATTCAATCCTCTGCATCTCAAGACGAAATTCGACAGCTCATAAACGGTGGTACGAATGTGATGGTCTAGCATCCTCGATGTAGCAACATCGTTCGCTGTCAAGGAAGAATCAACAGATCCACTTTGCCCGAGCCCGCCAAAGAGCGAATATTCCTCCCTTCGTTTGCGAAAAACACGAAGTAGCTGATGCACCATGACGGAATCAAAGAAACTCTTAACTGTATTAGAGAGAAGCATTGGGTCTTGAGAGGTCGCGAGGCTGTCAAAGGAGTCACGTCAAAATCATTTGCCGCACCAAAGTAACCGTGACCTCCTCTACCATCAAGCTGAGTGAGTGAAGAACCTCCATTTTCGAACACTGGTATCGATTTTGCCGGCCCTCTCTACACAAGATTTATATATGTCTCTTTACCTGTACCTCCACCAGAACGGTTCATCTCGAACTCTTCGATAGTCTATCTGTTTCTGCATTTCTTCAAACCTTTAAACGCTTCGCCGCTCGAAAGGGTCTACCTTGTCGATTGCTGTCGGAAAACGCTAAGCCTGCCGCGAAGGCGCTGGTCGCTTACCGGAAGTTCAACGTTTCCTAGCAACCAAGGGCACTGTCTGGAATTTCATATTTAAGCAATAAAGCACTTTTTCCCGTATTTACATAGCCTCATCTAAACACAAGGGAGGCTGGGAGAATTCTCGGGTTTGCATAACTTTCGAGAATTCTCCCAATCCCCCGGGTGTTTAGATGAGTCTATGTAAACACGGAAAAAGTGCTCTATTGGTTTTATAAAATAATTCTCAAAGATACACGCAAATCTAAAACGTCACAACCGTGTTTACATATTCTCATCTAAACACACCTATCGACCAATGAGAGCGAGCGCAGTAGCTCTTGCAGTAATTTTATAAAATGACCCGAACTCATCAAACGTTAAGGTATTATGGCTCCTGTACAACCTGCACTGAACACATGCCAAGTCTATGTGCTGTTTTACGTGAGGAAAGTAACTCCCGTTTCTCGACTTGTATGAACACCTGAAAGTGAGAAACAAAGGCAAACAAATATGAGTAATTTTAGGTAACACTTGACGTTCGTAAATTAAAAGTCAACTTTAAATCAACTTTAAAATGTAAAAGTTAAGACCTTTTCAGCCAGGGGTGAAACACACCCAAGACCTTATTCATAAGTAATTGAAAACCAAACCACTAATAGCTTATTTATTATTAAGAAAGTAAACCATACTCCAATTCTACTCAAACTTGTTCAATGAAAAATCTGGAGGTGGGACATGTCTTTTGTATTGTCATTCTCGGGAGACATCAAGTCTCAATTCATTAATTGTTTATTATTCATGCGAGTATTCCTTGTAGTGTCATTCGTCACCAATAAATCAACAACATCTTTCTTAATAATTTCTGGCATCTGTGGTAACACCCACAATCGCTAAATCCTAATCATATAAACCCAAAATCACAGCAAAACTCGTCATTTACCGATACAGTGGAACTCCTTTAAAGAGGTCACCAACGGGCCACAAAAATCTGGCCGTTTAACGGCGTGGCCGTATTAAAGGGGTTCTTTAATTGAGAAAATGACTGACTGAGCTCTTGCTCGGACCAGAATAAAGTGGCCGTAACAACGAGGTGGCCGTGTTAACGGGGTGGCCGTAAGGCGGGGTTCCACTGTATTTCACATTTTCAAATAAAAGTTACAAACAGGCGATTTACATGATGGCGTCATTTGACTTCAACTAGCAGAATTTTCATTGTCTGTTTCTTATGTTAATTGGTGCCCATTGCTATTTAAACTCGACTAAGGCCCGGGTCGCACTAGAGCCAATTTTGTTTGTATAAGTAATAAATCTGTCAACAAGTAGCGTAAAATAAGTGCGACCCCCAGTTTCAAAAATTTGCCAAATTTTTGCGGATTGCCAAAATTTCGCCAATCTTCAGAGAAGCCGAAGTGCTGCCTCGGAGGCTTCCAAATTTTGGCAAAGCGAACAATGTTTTTTTTTTTTAACCATTTAACTGTCATATTTTTTAAAACAATACGGCGAGGAAACAACTTGGACGCCCGGGTCGCACTATAATTTGAATAGTAAAGAAAAAAACGAAAGAGATTCTGGTAGTTGTAGTGAAATGACGACAACATACAAATCTGCTATTCGTGCAAGTTGCCCTGTAACACGAGCCGGTTTCAGTTATTTGTAGGAGATCAAGAAGCTAAATCAAGAAGCTAGATTTTCGACACAGGAAAATAATGATAGCAACCTTGAAAACTAAAAGCAGGGAGGAAAAGGGAGTGAAACTCTCTACACCACACTCGACCCAGTAGATCACGTGACCGGCGTTTCGCGCTCGTGGATATAAATAAATGACTAAGGTAGTGAGCCGCAGAAAAACTCAGCAGTAAGAAGCTTAACTTAACACGAAGTCGTCGTAAGGTAAGATAGCTCTTTGTCAGCTTTATAATGATGCGTGAATCATTTATCTGTTTTCTAACCAATTAAGACTATTTATAGGAAAGGTATTCTACCCATTAAAATCGCATTGCATTGGGTCGCTAAACTAACTCTGTAGCTTCTCTTAAGTGCTTGTAAATGTAACAAAACGGTTTACTTATTCAACTCTGTAGAACCTGCTTATTAACTTACCTAACGTGAATACAAAAGTCCGTTGCAAACAAAGCGTTTTATCGATTGTCGCACAAGACTGCTTTCCTGTGTTCTACGTCGGTAGCGTCCTTCTCATTGTGTAATTACGTAACATATGATACACCCCCCTTTTCTACTTGTTAATCGAGGTACGCACATTTATCTTATCAGCCAGGCGCGAGGGCCTTATCATATTATTAACGGCGCTAGGTCTTGATGTAGCAATCAGTGCACAAGAGTCTGTGGGCTGATATTCTGACAGTTCGGTCCTAAGAAATCAATTTTATTACACGTGGATTTTCTGATTGATGATGAGCTTTCAGCTTAACTAGTGGACCTGCAAGAAGCATTCACTGTTCAAGCGAGCGAACGAACAGTCAAACAGACGGAGAGACACGTTAAATTTTATTCTATAAAACTGGTAAGACGTGCTACTGACTAACTTCGATTATGTAACATCAAGAGAAAAAGTAACATTTGTGGCGATTTAAAGGGTATTCCTTGGATTTTTATGCTTCCTTTAGACAGCTTGAGAAAACAGTGAATCTTTCTTCCAACTACCATCCGCAAAGATGTCAAAGATGGCGAGTCAGTGTAGCGAGTGTTCTGAAAAGTTTCGGTTGGGAAATTCAAACACACACCGTCAGAAACGCTCACGCCACATGCCTGCGTCGCTTACAATAGAAACCACCCACGACTGTTGTTTTAATTAGTAGCCTTAGGGGATATGGGCGATTATCTCTATTAGGATTCTTTTCCAAATTAGTTCTCGATCGAGAAGTTGAATTTTATTTTTTCTAGTGTTGCTTAAAAGACACTGATTTAAAGTTCGACACCCGATTGACTGACTCTAATGGTTACCTGAAAGACAATGCATTCAAAACACAATAACATTACTATCGACAAAAGCCGATATCTGATTCCCGGATTGATTGCATAATCAAACACGCGAGCGAAGAACAGTTTCGTTACTCTTCTTATGTTTTCCACGACAGGAAACACTGTGACATCAGCGAAAGCACAAGTACAAGAAATCCAAAAGCCGTTTGTTCTTCTTTTTGTTTATCGGGTGTGAACCACGCGGCGAAAATGCAGTGGCGTGACTTGCCAAGAGCGAACATTTTCAATATATGATTTAAATTGTTAATTTGTGTTTAAGAAACATGAGAAGTTTAGAAATGTATTGGTCAGCGGTTATCGTGGTTAGTCCTTTTAAGGCCCCGTCCACAGGTATCCGGATATTTTTGAATCCGCAACTTTTTCTTTCCGGAAACGGCTTCCGTCCACACGCATCCGGCAAATTCGGCAGCGAATCCG